GAGGTGGTGGTTGTGATGGACGGCTGGGGCAGGAGCCAGTGGGGCCGTTCTGGGGTGTGTATGGGGAAGACAGGTCCAGGAGGGGAGGAATGGGAGGACACATCACTCTGATGGATCCAGATGTAACAGGAATCCCTGCGTGACCCCAAAGGTGGCTCTTGTTGTCCAAAGCACGAGGATTTACCTGGATTCTGTACAAGGAGAGCCCCAGCACTGCTCCCTTTCCTGTAATTCCTCCCTGTGGGGCTCTGGGGGTTTCGGTTACACCAGGGCTCTCCAGCCTGGCCACCCTCTGGGGTCTCTGTGTTGCTCCTTGCCATGGGGCATCCTGACTGTCAGCAGCGGGCAGCAAGTCCTGCATGTGAGGCCGCCCCCGGGCCAGAGACAGAAATTTCACTGCGTGTTTGAGCCTGGCCTGGTGCTGCTTGGCTTTTTGCTACCTGCGCGGGAAGAGTGCTGTAAAAAGTGCCTCATAACCGTGATCTGGCAGCGTGGAGAGGTGGCTCTATTTATCTTTCCTTCTCAGCTGCCTGCAGCAAGGCTCACAGAGGTGACGTGACCAAGTCCTGTGCAGGGCCGGGGCTCCGACATTGCCCCTTCCCTCTGCTTCCCAGGTCCTTGCACTACCTCTGGGCTCTGCAGGCTGGAAAAAGGGGGAAAAACAGCACCTCGTAAAGTCTCTTCCTGGGCCTGAAAATATTTTAACAGGCCTGCCGCATCTATGGAATAAAGTCAGAAGGTGCCAAAAGGGCTTTTCTCCAAGGGCAGCTGCAGTGCTGGCATTTGGGAGCTGCCCAAGATAAACTATCAGGCAGAAACACACTTCTCTGAGGGCCTCCCGCGCCTCGGCTGCTGCAAGCAGGAGTCCCCGGGGCGGCTCTTCTCTCTGCACAGAAGAGCCTTTCTCCTGCAGAGAGATTTCTCTTGTGAGGCGGGTGCCCCTGGAAATACCGGGTGGCTGCATGGGCTCAGCCCGGAGTGTGATCCCCCCAATGCCCCCCTCAGTCACATCCCACAGAGGTGAGCAGCTCCTGCTGAGGGTCACAAACCGGAACGAGCACGGATCCTGGTGGTGAAACTCACCCGAAAGGCTCGCAGGACTTGAGTTTCGTCTGAAACCGCAAGAATGGTGGTAGGTTTCTGTGCAAATCTCAGCGACTTCCTTTGGGCCCACGCAGCCCTTTCAGCAACATTTATTTGTTATTTTCCCTTCCAGACTTCAGGCTGAGCAGCAGGAACTGGCAGACCTCATTCAGGCAGTGATGTACGCCTTGAACTGGTCTCCTTGGGGTAAAGGGACGCCAGGATGAGCTAGGGTAGACATCAGCTCTACTGGCACATATACATATGCATGTATATATATACACACACACCTCCAGCCCGTGGGCTCCTTTGGGCAGTGGACGGGAAGCTGGACAGGGTGCTCCTGTCTGGGAAGGAAACTAAACCATCTCTATGCAGAGCTGTCAGAGAGGGCCAAGGCAAGTCTACCAGCAGAGCAGCAATGCCAAGCATTGAGCAGACTAAACCCCTGCTTGCACTAGAACTGCTGGGTTTCAGGCACCCTGGTGGTGACATTCTTGGCCTGGCTCTGCTGCTGGGACTCCCCAGCAGCCCTTGGCCCGTGTTTGCCTCACTTGGCACAGAGCAGACGTGTTGTAACACTGACACAAGGGGAGCCAAGGTCTGCTTGCCGCCTCAG